ACCTCAAATGGATGTGGATTCAGTTCCAAATGAGTCCAGTCGAGTTCCCCGGCGTTTAGAGAGTTTAACTTCAGATGTGAACTCAGTTCCAGATGAGTCCAATCGAGTTCCCCGGCTGATCAATCGTATTTATTTAGACCCAAGACTCGATGTGCCTCAAGGTCCTATTAAAATGGTAAGCAGTGACGAGAGTCCGAAGTTGGTACATGTGACCAATTCGATTCTGCTCAACAAGAATAGCACTTTCCCGGAGTCCATGAAGGTGTGTGGATCCCAAGTTTGGCTGGCAAGACCCACGAGTGTTCTGTCTGAGATAGATGGATGTCCATTAGATGTGGATAAAACAGTGGAAGGCCGGCGAACTGAGCTGCAGAGTATGACTGCTCACAAAGCAGGGAGAGTGGTTGGAGCAGACGAGGCTCAGAAGTTTGCTCGTCAGCATGGGATAAAGATCATCCCAACCCGATGGGTCATAGGCCCAAAGGTGGTGAATGGCAAGGAAGCTGTGAGAGCTCGGTGTGTGGTGCAAGACATCGCAAAGGGGAGCACAGCATCATCTTTAGGACTGAGTGCTACGACTCCTTCTTTAGAAGCGTTACGGACGCTTTTGGCCATTGCTTCGGTAGATGCTATGGATATCGCAACTTTGGATGTTAGCACTGCATTCTTGCATTCCCCCCTTCCGAAAGGATCGAAGGCGATTATCCAATTGCCCAAGGATGTTTCCGCCTGCAAGGACTATTATGTCCCGGTGTTTATGATTCTGGATCAAGCCATGAATGGTTTGAGAGTTGCCGCCAAAGCTTGGAATTTGAAGCTGGCGACAGTTGTGAAGAAAGTTGGGTTGCAGCAATGCCCAACGGAACCTTCCGTCTTCGAGGGCACTGTGAGAGGGAAAAGATTCCTCATGTTGTGCTATGTGGACGATTTGATTCTGTGTGGCACTAGAGATGCCATTCGGTTGGTGACCGACACCCTGAACGGAGAGTTGAAGATCAAGGAAACGGGTCGAATCACTTCCACTGGTGGAAAGATCACCTTTTTGGGGCGAGAGATTGAGAGACAAGGGAGTCATCTCAGGATGCGAGTGCCCCCGGCATACTTAGATGCCCTGTTCGAGACAGAGTTCTGTAAGGACCTGAAGGTGGTTACTGCTCCTCCGGACATCGTGAAAACGGTCGAGAAGGGCAGAGCAAGTGGTTCGGATCCTGAGTTGAGTGACACTGCAGCTGCGAGGTACAGAGCAGTACTTGGCCGGATTGCATGGTGGGGTCAGTCGAGACCTGACCTGAGTAGGTGGATGTCCATTCTTTCGCAAGGACAGTCCAAGCCAACAGCATGCTTTGAGCAAGCATTGCGACAAGTGATTAGGTTCCTAAAGGGACAATACCATGCATGGCAGTACTTTGGCCCTGATGGGAATGTACCGGACAGTGGGCCGGCGCAGCTGGAAGTGTATGCGGATGCCAGTTGGGCACCCCAAGCGTCGTTAGGACGAAGATCTGTGTCGGGCATAGCCATCTTTTATAGAGGATGCCTGATCAAGGGAATCTCTCGAGTTCAAGGGTGTGTATCGCTGAGTTCTTGTGAAGCCGAGTTGAGAGCCATCTTGACTGCGGTACAGGAGAGTGAGGGACTTGCGACTTTGATCGGTCAGTTGGCCGAGTCAGATGTCACGATCCGATTGCACACTGACAGTTCCTCAGCGAGAGCGGTTTTGCTAAACCGTGGGTTGAGTAGGCGAGTTCGCCACTTAGACATCGCTGTCTGCTATCTTCAGGAGCGGATACAGGAAGCTCAGACCTTGAAGGTCATTTGGTGCCCGACAGCGGGAATGATCGCTGACGTTCTTACAAAGTGCTTGAGTCAAGTGACATTCTGTCAGCGCCAGCAAGCTATGGGTATATACCCTGGTGAAGATGTGCAGCAGGTGTGGAGGATCTGTGGAATCCGACCAAGGGTTGGAGTTCAGGCATGCCAGTTTGCCGAGGCAACTGGATGCAGTGTGGAGCAAGTTGGATCGTTGAAAAGTGTGAAAAAGTGTGGCGAAGTTTTTTGAAAATTTCCACCTTAAAAGTCCCGAAACCCTTCGTGAAGACTCTTCCCCTGAGGTTCAAGAAATGGATTTATGGTCCAACCGCAAAAGCTTTGGTTCAAGCACCACGGAAGCTAGCCCTAGCCTGGAGCCTGTACCTTTGGTGAAGGACAGGAAAATGGCAGCTGAAGACAACAGGAAGGGTGAGCAGGGTGCTGAGATGAAAAGCCCCTTTTGGTGTAAGGTTTGCAAATGGTTGTTCAGATCCGAGCATGCTGCCGGGTTGAGCTGGGATGAAAGTGGCAAGCCCAAGTGCGAAAAGTGCAAACAGACTGTGACAGTCTCTGGCACGGATGCAAGCCATGCATTCCATCTCCGAGAGGCAGAGAAGGAGCGCCGAGCTGCTGGAAAAAGGGGTGATAAAGGTGAAAGCCGAGGCTCAGGCCAAGCTGCACCGAAACCCAAGGCCATGCCGAAGGTGATTGAACGGATGGTCGATGTGTTTCCGGAGCTGGCGGATCCAGAGCCGCCGAAGTGGTTCGGTGATGTGTCATGGAGTATCTGCCGGCGCGGAACTCCAGTGGATGAGCTAGAGCTCAAGGACGTGGTAGGCACGCTATCCGACAAGGATATGTTGCGCTATCAGAGCTCATACGAGAAGCTAGTGAAGCCCATCCAGGAGGTGTGTGAGCTACAGGAGAAACCCACGAAGATCTTCGGAATCTTGGATGTCCGTGGACAGATTGGTGGCAAGGCCATCATCTGGGAGATGGCAGTGAATGAAGGAGGACTGTACATGGAAGTACCGCCGGGAACGTGTGGCCTGGCGATGTTGAGCTTCGTGAGGTACTTGAAGAGAAAAGGGATAGTCCCTGTTTTGCTTCTGGGTGAGCACCAGGACCTCGGAGTCTTGCGGATGGTGGATCTGTTGTGCATGCTACCCATTTTGGGAGCAGAGAGGGTCATGGAGGATGAAGCTGAGAGCTCGTATTATCCCCCATGGGTGTTGCGCTGGAAGAGAAGTGCAAAGGAAGGATCCTTGGTGTTTAAGGAACTGGTGGAGCGAGTGCGAGTGATTTCGATGTTGTCGTGTGATACACTTCGGATTCACGAGCCGGAGCTGAGGGAGAGACCAGTCCCCAAGTGGTCGTTTGTGGCCTACAGCCACTACAGATCCGTGATGGAGTCTGTTGCAGGATTCTTGGAGGACCTGGAGAAAAAGAAAGAGGAGATCACCGACACGCAGAGGGCGGCAAGCTGGAAGAAGGTGGTTGCGAGTGAGACTCGAAGCGGTGTTGTGTGGATCTGCAAGTGTAAGTGGCACTTGCCGACCGACTATGTGGTGAGGTTCAACTTGACGTTGCCTGCCGACATGTGGCAGCAAGCCTTTGGGATCATGGGTGAGAATGTTGGGAAACTCGAGAAGGAGGAAAAGGACCTGAAGCGGATCCTCAAGGCTGCAGCGGAACAGCAAGACCGAGAGTTCGAGGAAGCTGAGCGAAAGCGCAAGCGCATCGCCGACCTGTCAGCTGCCGAGGAAGAAGCTGCTAAGAGAGCAAAGCTGGAAGGCGAAGCGGTTCGCTCGCCTGTGTCAGTTGTACCATCTGAGTTGGATGCAGCAGCTATCGCGCAGATTGCTGAGCGTGTGAAGGCAAGCTTTAGTGTTGCCGATTTGGAGCTGATGTTGGAAGAGAAGAAGAGAAAGGTTGGAGACCAGCCAACTGAGAGGCCTGCGGAGACGCCAGCTGAGCCTAGCCGATCTTCGCAGGAGGTGATGATGGAAACGAGGACGGCTGAGTTGGCGGAGATGAAGGAAGCCGCCAAGGAGCGCCGCGCCAAGTTGATGGAGTCAACTGGAGCTGGCGAGAAGAAGGGCGAAGAGGATGAAGAATGAACTGAGATGCTAAGTGATCTCAGTGGTTGGGTGGGTGAGTGAAACCCGCAGCCATTTTTTGGAAGCCATGGCCGCGTTGCCGCCATGGAGCGCCCGCGATTTTTCTGGTTAGTGTGAGCCCTTGTTTCAGTGCATGAGAAGTTTGCAAAGAGGAGGCAAAATGATGATGAAACTCAACGAGGGACTCTATAGCCCCTTCTGCAAGGCGTCTGATTGCCACCTCTGAAGACGTTTTTGGCTGATGGTACGCTGGAAGAAGCGAAACTATGAAGCCAATCTTTTCTTGAAGGATCAGCTAGCCGATGCTAGTTGGTGAGTTTGGTGACCTGGAAGATGCGAGACTGAGGAGGAGTACCACGACAAGGTCGAGTGCTGAGTGGGAAACATCTGAAGCTTGCATTAATTCGTTTTCACGTGTTTGTCACCACGAACTCTTGGATTCGTTCCAAGACAACCCTGCCCCAGTGCAGGTGGATGCAAGTTTAATTCGTTTTTCACGTGTTTGGACAACGAACTCTTGGGTTACCAGTGATGTGGACCCAGGACAACCTGCCTGATGGTGGGATCTTGCATGAGTTTTAAGTTTGATGTCAGAGATCGACTGGTGTGTTGTTTGTTTCGTTTGGTGGCGAGTACGCACCAAGGGAATGTGGCCAGGGCATCCCCTTAGTGTTGAAGTGCCGAGCTGGGCTTGGACTTCAGATCTTTGACATGAACCCTCAGCAAAATGCGGGGGGTGGAAGATTGTGGCTGATCAGTGATGTTTTTGTCATGTTTTGGATCAGCTTGTATAGGTTTGTTTTGCTTCGGAGTGATTGGGAATCCGTGTGATCCCATCCTCGATGGTTTATGCCTCGTTGATTTCCAAGGAAATCATACGAGTGTGTTTTTGCCCAATACGCTATTTAAAGTGAGTGTGCAGTGTGTAGGAACTTCGTTCTGAAGCTGAGTTTAAGCTCACAAGAGAGAATTCGTTTAGTTTGTGCACTTCGTGACTTTTGGCTCAAGTGGCTCTGACTGTGAAAAAGAGAGAGTTGTCCGCACTTGTGTGAGAGGTCAGGGTTCGTGCTTTCAAGGGAAAAGGTACCAGAGGGACCTTCGGTTTTTCACGAGATTGTCCATGTACTTCTCGTCTCGGCTTGTTCCTTGCTTGCTTTTCTCCTCACTGAACTTGCTGTGCTTGCCTCTCTTCACCACGTGCTCTTCCATGGTCCAGGAGTAAACCCTCTTGCCCTTGATGTTCGTGCTCTCTATGATATCGCCGTCCTCAATAGCTTGGTCCAACATCTCCTGGGTAAGGTTGAACTTTCCCATGAGGAGCACCCTCGGAAGTGCCTTCTGGGCGGACTTGCTGGCAGTCTGGGTAAAGTTCTCCTGTGTGCAGAGCACGAGACAAGTTTAAACATAGGATTGCACAGAGTCTAGGATTTACTTGTGGGATCTTACATTTGTGGATTATCTGAGTATATCTGTCATATACCTTTTAGTTTTGTATCTATATCTATATGAATAGATTTATATTTTTCTTTTTTTATATTTTGCATTAGTACATAAATAAATAAATATGAATGTATATATATATATATATATATATATATATTTATATTTATTTATGTAATTATTTATGTTTATATTTAAACATAAAGTACAAGGGTTTACATATAGGGTTAAGGTTGCCGTTACCGGTTTAGGATTTAGGGCTCTGTATAAAACTATAGTCTTCTCTCAGAAGGTGAAACGAGCACCTGTAGCTGCTTGAAGAATGGTTTCTCCAGAGAGACCACGAGTTTTCCGGAGGATGCATCCTTGTCCATGGCTTGGTTGACCAGCTGGCGCTGCGCCTCGAGTCGCCCCACCTTCATCTTTGACAACCGGTTCCACTCATCCTCGAGCCATTCCGGCAAGCCACCGGAACGGAGAAGCTTGAGAAACTTTTGGTTCTTACTCCTGTTCTTGGTCTTCTCGCCAGCATCTTCTGTCGAGGCGACCTGCAGAGTAGCCGGGTCGATGCAAGCATCGTGCGAGCGAGGGTGCTCCTCTTCGGCCTGTTCTTCCTGGACATTCTGCTCTTCCTCTGCCTTTGCTTTGGCCAAGGCCAATGCCTTGGCCTTGGCTTTGGCCGCCTTCGCCTTGGCCTTGGCCTTGGCCTTGGCTTTGGCCAAGGCCTTGGCCATTGCACAGGCTGCCTTCGTTTTTTTTTGGGCCTTCGCCTTCATCTTGGTCGGGGCCTTTGCCTTGGCCTTGGCTTTGGCTTTCGCCTTGGCCGAGGCCTTGGCCGAGGCCTTGGCCGAGGCCGTGGCCTTGGCCTTTGCCTTGGCCTTGGCTTTTGCCTTGGCCTGCGAGGGAACCTTGGCCGAAGGTTTTCTCATCACCTGGGGCTCGTCGTCTTCCTCCACAGGAGCTTGGGCCACGTCCTCCTCAACTTCGGTAGCCTGTGTTGCAAAGCACAAAACAATATACAACCCGAACAGTTTTCAAAAACTTACACTTGAATGGTTTCGGGCTTGGGGGTTTGGGTTTAGGGCTTGCAAAGGTGTGCCTGGCTGGACATGATGTCGTTCCGGTCTCGGCCCGGCAACAGGAAAAGCAGAAATCGCTGCAGGCACTGTGTCCGGTTTCTTGTTTTTTTCCAGAGATTTTCTAAAAATTTTGGCTTGCTTTTCACAAAATCCCGATGCAGTTTCGATGCCGTTTCGATGCCGTTTCGATGCTGTTTTAAAACCGATGCAGTTTCGATGCAGTTTTCCTTAAAACTGCATCGGTTTCGATGCAGTTTCGATGCAGTTTTTAAAACAGCATCGAAACAGCGTCGAAACAGCATCGAAACTGCATCGGGATTTTGTAAAAAGCAAGCCAAAAATTTTTAAGCAACTCTTTAAAAAACAAGAAAAAACAACCAAGAAACACCCAAAAAATCTCAGAAACAATCAAAAACATTGGTTGGTTTGCAAAAATGGAGAGCCAACGGGCCTACATAGAACTATAAGGGTTCGGTTGGGCTTTCGGATTCACTTGGGGGTTGAGGGTTCGGGGTGCCCGAACACGACTACACACCTATATACACTAGCATGTGAAGAAAGCTCGTGGTTCTCTCACACGTAAACTGTGGAAGTGACATGTAGACGATGCTTGCTGCAAATGTAACCTCGCATGTAAACTGTTCAGGGTTTCTGGTGCTTTGGGTTTGGGGTTTCCTAAACCCTAAACCCTAAACCCTAAACCCTAAACCCTAAACCCTAAACCCTAAACCCTATAAACCCTATAAACCCTAAACCTTAAACCCTAGACCCTAAACTTTTCTGGCATTGCTTGGTTCAGAATGAACCTCACACGTAAACTGTGCACAATGCTTGATTCAAATGTAACCTCACATGTAAGCTGGAATGGGTTCAGTGTGTTGAGGGTTTATGGGGTTTTGGGTATAGGGGGTTTCCTCCTAAACCCTAAACCCTGAACCCTAGTGTTGATAGGGTTGATAGGGTTTAGAGGGTTTAGAGTTTAGGGTTTAGGGGGTTTAGGGGGTTTAGGGGGTTTAGGGGGTTTAGGGGGTTTAGGGGGGTATAGGGGGTTTAGGGTTTAGGGTTTAGGGCTCAGGGTTTTGGGTTTAGGGTTTAGGGTTTAACCCTATAAACCCTCTAAACCCTCTAAACCCTGTAAACCCTAAACCCTAAACCCTAAACCCTAAACCCTATAAACCCTAAACCCTGTAAACCCTAAACCCTATAAACCCTAAACCCTAAACCCTATAAATCCTAAACCCTATAAACCCTATATAAACCCTAAACCCTAAACCCTAAACGGGGTTTGAGTTTTGGGTGGATCAGGAGTTAAGTGTAAAGGAGTTTAGGAGGTTGTTGGATTTAGGGCAGCATTCAGGGGTTAAGAGTTTCAGAGGTTCCGGGTTTGAGGTTTGCTTGGTGTGGTTTAAGGATTTAGTATTAAAAAACCCTCTCTGCCCTGTCTGACGATTCTTTTTCTCTCTCAGCCTCGGGTGTTCGGTGGCTCTTATCACACAAGGCATCTGCCTCGGCTCGTCGCAGTAAGAGAAACTGCGAAAATTAATTAGTCGAACGACCACGAAAAGGCTTATCTGGCTCTTTTGAGCTTGCCATCACGGCCGAGCCTCAGCAGGATGCCACGACTTGAGGAGCTCGAAGATCGCCTCTTCGATGATCGCCTCCTCCTTCGCCGGGATCTGGATCGAGATCGCGAGGGTGACCTTCTCGACTTCTTCTTCTTCCTCTCGCGACTTGCTCTCACCTCCTGCTCTTCCTCCTCCTTGTTGTCGTCCTCCTCCTCCTCGTCCTCCTCCTCATTGCCCTCCTCCTTCTCGCCCTCCTCCTTCTCGCCCTCTGCCTCAGGGAGAGGCTCCGGGAGAGGGTTCGCCGTCGCCATAGCCTGGCCCAGCTGCTCTGCAAGGAGCTGATCGTCGACCTCCTCGCCCTCCATGTCGCCTTCATCCACAAGCAGGTAGGGATCCTTATATAGAGCACATGTAAAAAGGTCCACCCCGTATTTATCCAAAAATAAAAGCCGAAAGTAAACTCTCTTCTTCGGTCGAAAGCACAAACTCTTGAAGCCTTTCTCTTTTCTCTTCGCAACACAAAAACAACACATGCAACATGAGACAAAGATACACACAAGGCTGTCTGCTCCTCCTCCAGCACAGGCTCTGCTTGCCTTTTCGGCACTGCAGCTGGCTGCTCTGGAAAAGCGGGCATGTGAGGCACGGGCATGGGAGGCATGGGAGGCATGGGAGGCTCCATTGGTTGGAATGCCGGGTGCCCTGGTGGCAAGGGAGGCTCTGCAACCACCGGGTGCCCTGGTGGCAAGGGAGGGAACCAAGGATAGGGCGGGGGGCCTGGCAACGGGGCCGGAGAGTGCCATGGAGGGGCTTGAGTCGCCTTCGCTGCCGCTGCAGGCAAAGCAGTGGCCAAATGAGGAGCCGAGCTCGGAGGCCGTGCCAACTCGGCATGAAGGCACTTGTGGATGCACAACCTAGGCACAGCTGATGTAAGAACATGTATAGAGTTTTTACAGGGGTCTACATTTAGGGTTTAGGGTTTAGGGTTTAGGGTTTAGGGTTTAGGGTTTAGGGGCTTCTAGGGTTTAAGCGCAAGAAGCTCGTCCACCCACTGGCCATGGAAGGTGCTGATCATCTGCTCTGCTTCTTCTCGAGTGCCCTTGTGGTTGCCGCCACAGGTAAGCTTAAAACCCCCGATATATAACAATAAAGTAACAACAGAAAAACCTAACCCTAAACCTTTTATACCTCTATACATATATATATATATACATACATATAGATTATAGACCTTAAACCCTAAACCCCAAACCCTATACATCCTAACCCTGAGACCTCAAAAACCTTGAGGGTTTAGGGTTCAGAGGGTTTAGGGTTTAGGGCTTATATAGGGTTTAGGGGTTTAGGGTGTAGGGTTTACACAGTTTACACTTCCCTCTGTGTAAAAAGCTTGCAGCCAAGATTCGAAAGTGAGAAACAATGAGCAATGCATCGGCTTCTCCATCCCCATCTCCCAGTAGTTGGTACGGACCACTTGTATCTCCGAACACGTCACGATTCCCCACTTTTCGAGGACTTTCCTGATTGCCTCAGATTTGTGTTTGTGGGCTTCAGCTTGTTTGGGGGCGCTTTTGTAAATTATAGCTCGCAGGAAAAGTAAAACTATATGAATGCCCAAGCACCCACTTAGGGGAGTCGAATGCGACATTCTTCACATAGACTCTCATGGCTCAGGCTCGCTCAGAGAAAGCCTAAACAATCTTCAAAACAGAGCAGCGATGGACATCGGCAAACGACAAGTAGGTTCGAAGCCTCTGCACATGTATAACCCGAACTCTCACACGTCTCTGCTGTAACTACAAGCTGCATGCTCCTCTGACATACTTTCGCTCGGCCAAAAACTCACCAGAACATATGTCATCAGCTCGCCGCAACTTCTCATCAACTCGTCCAGGTATAATGTCGCAAGAGGGGCCGGCGCGGTGATGCACTGCCCCTCTCAAAGGTCCCTGTTACATCTGCTCCCCCGGCCTTCCCGGGGCCAAGAGAGGGTTGGGCGGGCGTGGTGATGCACTACCCCTCTCAAGGTCCCTCAGGCCGGGCGGAGCACCTGCCCGCAGGCAGTCTCGCTTTCGGGTTTAGGGTTTAGGGTTTAGGGAAATGGGCGCCCGGCGTGCCACGAAGAGGTCGTTGAAAATGACGACGCAGACGAAGGCGCCTGGCCGCAGAGGTAGGGGGGTTTAGGGCTAAGGTACCCCTAGGGTTCGGGTCTAAGGGTACCCCCAAAGCCCTAACCAAAAACCCTCCTACGACCCCTCGCAGATACGGGGGAGGGTTCGAGCGGCGCGCACCGGCGGAGGGGTTAGGGTTTTGGGGGGAGGGCTCGGGTTCAGGGAGGACAACGGTGGGTGGGAAGGGTTGGGGCAGGGCGCCCGGCATCCTCCGTAGTGGTCCAACCTGGGCTGAAAGGGAGGGCTTTCGGTAGGGGCTTAAGGGAAGGCTTTAAGGGAGGGCTGAAGGGAAGGGATTAAGGGAGGGGCTTAAAGGAAGGGCTTAAGGGAGGGCTTAAGGGAGGGGCTAAGGGAGGAGCGCTAAGGACGGGCTTAAGGGGTTTTAGGGAGGGCTCAAGGAGGCCTGGCTTCAGAGAGAGCAAGGGAGGGCTGTAGAGAGAGCTTCAGGGCTTAATGGGCTTTGGCAGAGTTCGTTTTTGCAAGCCGCTGTGCAAGCTGCCAGGCGGTTGGCCACATTCTCGAAGGCTGGTTGTGCGTCCACTCTAGGACTGCAAGCTGCCAGGGTGGCCACATTCTCGAAGGTTGGGTTGTGCGTTCACTCCAGGACTGTCAGCTGCCCACATTCTCGAAGCTTCGGTTCCAGGACTGCAGCTCCCAGGCAAGACCACAAAACTCCAAGCTGGCTACTCCAACCGCCGTGGCTCACGCTTCACGCGCTTTGCAGCAGACTTCTTCTCCTTCTCCTCATCGTCCAACCCTGCGCGCACGCGTGCCAGCTCGAGCAGCGCTTCCTTCTTCAGATCGAGCAGAGTGCTTTTTTCCACCATGGCTTGCACCAGCTGCTCGCGCCTGACCTTGATCAGCTCCGATGCCAAGGCCAGGTCCTCGTCGCAGTTCTCCACAGTTCGCAGGATCGCGG